GGGTCAGACGATGCCCCTATACTTGCAAGGGCCGAAGGCTCAGGGAGGTCTACATGACCCTCGGGCAGGGACTCTCCCGTGTCACCCCTAGGTGAAAGTGCTTCAAGGCCGAGTGGCACCCGTGGCGCCGTCAAGGGAGGCGATAAAGACGATAAATCTTCTGTCTTCAGATGCTTCTCTGCACCAAAGAAAAAGCCAAGGGGTTATGGTCAAAACGCTGCACCAGCCGTGCGCCAGGCTCAAGTAGCCACACATTGCTTGGAGGAGAGCGTGGATTCTAACCAGCCGTAGGTCCTGCTTGCAAGTGTTGCTTCGGAAAGGGGTGAACGTCGAAAAGGAGGTCCGAACAAAGGTGCTAAGGGTGATTGCTTGTACTTGGGATCCAGACCCTGGGTAGAAGCGAAGAACAGACACCCCTCCTTTTATAGTGTCCGGCAGCAGGAGGCCTAATCGACGGGCAACACCCCCCCAAATCGCAAGAGAGCGTTGGTGGCACACGAAGCAAAGCATCAGAGGCCATGCATTGAAGCAGCGCCAGCATGCAAATCAAAGCGTCACACGGACCAACGCTTCGTGCCCCAAAAATACTGTCGTACGAACAACACGCCAAGTGACATGCCACACATGCGAAAGATTACGCTCAGTCTCGAGGAAGCACTAAGGGCATGTAATCGAACTGTCGTACGACGCCGATGTCGCGTCTCTCTCTCTGCAGTAACTGTTGCATGCATGACATGGCCTACCAGGAATGAAATGCCTATCGCCGTCCAAACGCCTCCTAGCTAATACATACAGCCCAATTGCACTCGGCCTGCCCACAGCAAGGGCCCCCTCTGAGTGTCCAAGGCACGCCTCCACACCACTGTGCTTCACGGACAAGCGAATCTTGTTCCTTGTCTCGCCCACATACGGGACCCCCCTGCGGTCCCCTCCCCCAAAAAAAAAAAAAAAACAAGGAAAAAGAAAAAAAAAGGGGTCTTGCGAAAATCAGCAATGACGTACCCCTCAAGGGTTGGGATGAAAACCCGCAAGGGCATCCCAACCACCATCACGCAACAAGCAGCAACTACCCCACAGCCAAGATAGACGTTCCACGGGCCATTCCTTGTCCCCACCATCACCAGGGATAAGGACTTCACCGGCCCACAAAAAAAGGAGAGAAAAAGAAGCGGCAATCAAAGGCATGCAAGGCGACCACAAACGGCTAACTCAAAAAGGAAATTTATTTCATGAATGTAAAGGATTACAGAATCACAGTTACAATGAATAGTAGCTACGAGGAAGTATTCCCATTCTGAAGTGGGTTTCCTGCCTTCTGAGAACCAGAAGGGGGGGAGGGGGGCACCCCCCTTTCGTTCGATGAAGAAGGTGAAGAGCCGTGCGCTCTTCGGTGGGAGCAGAACACGTGCAAATCCTAGGCGCGCCGCCCCCACCAACAGTGGCAACAGGCCCCCAACACCTCATATACAGCCGTGGGCCTCACGCCATGGGTCCTGCACAAACAGAGGAGCTTCGCAGCAACAAGCTCGCCCTCTGTCACGGGTCCATCGTCGCCTCCACAAGGGCAAATGTCTTCACAAGGATGCCCAACGCCCGTACGTACCCCAAAGGTCGGTGTCAAGCAGTCAGCCCTCGCTGCAGGTATCGCTCACCGGCCAAGCTTTCAAAGAAAACGAAGTCTCCACGCTGCCTCCACACAAAGGAGCTTCCAAAAAGGAACTTCGTCTCAAAGGGGAAAAGCTGCAATCTTGCTCTTCTGCCTAGGCCTTTAACCCTTTTTAAAGGCCTAGGCTCATCAAATTTTGTTGCTTCCCGAGTGCCCTGCCGCTCAGTTGCTCAGCCACGTGTCGCCACAACGGCGCCTGTTGACCATGACATTTAAGCCTTCTCACGCCTCACCTACCAGGCATTACTCACGAAGCGTCGCGGTCAAATCTCGCTCCACCATGCTACCAGCCTGGCACATCAACAAATCACTCATGCAGATCTTGCGTCGAGGCCCCGTTGCCACATGGCGTTCACCATCTGAACTCTCTTAGCATGCAGGTGGTGCCTTTGCAAGCTTCGCCCCCTCAGGGCATGTTCATCTCCATTCCCCTCCCGTGGCTGCCATCTCCATTCAACCCCCCTCCCCTCCCGCGGGTGCCATCTCCATTCACCCCCCACGGGTGTCATCTCCATTCAACCCCCACGGGTGCCGCCTCCATTCACCCCCTGCGGGTACTTCCAATATCCCACCTCCGTGGGCACCATCCAACACCTCCTGCGGATTCCCCCATCATCGACCTCGCGTGGACACAAACCGCCTGGGTCACCATAAAGCTATTCTTTCGACCAACCCACCCCTCAAAAAAAAAAGAGATGCCCTTCTTTGGCCTCGAGCCGCTACAATCAACCCGGGGAAGGGTCGCACCCTCAAGACTCTCAAGACCCCTCCGTCAAGGTTCACCACTTTGGTGGCCTCTTTCTCTCAAAGAAAAAAAGGAAAAAAAAAAGTCGGGCGCGATGGCAATAATCGCGAGTAAAAGAAAAAGAGCTTCAAGCGGACATGGTCCAAAAATATAAGAAGAGGTTATGGATAAGATCGCCCAAAAAAAAAATAGGGGCATGGTGAAAACCTGCAAAAGGCACTATGAGTGAAAATGACAGGCGGGCATAACCACGAAGCCATGAGTAAAAGAGTCATAAAAAAAATTGAGCATGACGAAAACCTGTAAAGGGCACCATGAGTAAAATCGAAAGCTAATTGCTGGACGTGACCTCGAAGTCATGGGTAAAAAACACCCCAACGAAGGGTATCGTGAAACCACTTTGTTGGCACCATATCTCTGCGGCCTCGGTGAAACCGGCAATGGGTGCCTGGACCGAACCTCCTGTTACCCGCCTTAAAAAAAAACAAACCACGGGCCCATTGCCTTCCAAAAAACTATGGCCTTAGTGCCTTCCAAAAAAACCATGGCCCTAGTGCCTTCCAAAGAAAACCACGGCCTTAGTGCCTTCCAAAAAAAACTACGGCCCCAGCGCCTTCCAAAAAAAAACCACGGCCCCAGTGCCTTCAAAATTTTTTCGACCCGAGTGCCACCTTTTTTTTTCTCCTAGGCCTTAGTGCTGCCTTCTCATTTTCGGCACCGGAGCCTTAGCGTTCCGGTGCTACCCTTTTTATCCCAAGCCTTAATGTCGCCTTCTTATTTTCGGCACCGAAGCCTTAGTGCTTTGGTGCCACCCTTTTATCACATGCCTTAGTGCCACCAACACAAAAACAAATCCTCTCCTCTTCTTTTCCATCGAACTCTTGCTGCCATGGTGAAGTCCCCTAAAATGGGACCGCTTCATAGACCATCCTCCCATCACGCCTAGACAATCGGGACGCGCTGAGAAACCCCCAGCCACATCAGTAGGACGTAAGCCAAAGAGGTACCTTGCCTGCCATTCTTCTAATCAAACTCCAACACCCAAGGTGAAGTCCCCTAAAATGGGACTGCCTGTAAGGCCATCCTCCTATCACGCCTGGACAATCGGGACACGCCAAGAAACCCCCGGCCACTGCAGTAGGACGTAAGCCGAAGAGGTACCTTGTCTACCTTTTCTTCCTCCACCAACCTTCAAGCATCCAGGTTGAAGTCCCCTAAAATGGGACCGCCTTGAATGCCATCCTCCTTTTATGTCTGGGTAATTCGGGAGACCCCCAACTGGACTTGTAGGACGTAAGCTAAGAGTTACCTTGTTTGCTCATGGCTTTTCTTTTTGGATAGGGATAAAGCTCACAAGAAGGGCCCCCGCCAACTGGAACTTCAGAACCTCCCCGGTCAGAATGGGATAAAGCTCACAATAAGGGCCCACACTGGCTGGAAACTGGGAGTTCGCATTGAGAAGTCGTAAGCCCGTCGATGGCAGAATATTATCGAGATCTCCCAAAAAGAAAAAACGGATTTTGGCGGGACTCGGAGAAAGGCCCTCAACAAGGCACCAGAAACCACTTTAGTCTCCCCCCCCCCCCGGTCAAGGGAAAATCTCAGCAAGGTCTACCCCTCGAGGATTGCGCTGTGTTGGTGATCAAGAAGAAAAATATCATCGAGAGACAATAAACACGTCTTGACAAGGATTCGTCAGAGGAGCTACGACGTTAAATTTTTTCGAATGTTGCACTTCTGGCTTCTCTAGAAGTGCAACATTCGGCAGGACAAGTTATTGTATATCATTTTTGACGTACTTCCATGAGTCCATGCGGATAAGGAGAGAGCCGGCGACAGTTTGGTCTCGCGGGTTCACGAAACACTCACAGACTAGGATTATGCCGAGAAATAAATCCTCCAGCTTAGTGACCTGGGGCGGTGCCCTTGCACCAAAGAAGGACCCTCCACTATAGCCCTATGAGAGAGGCTGCAGCAGGGCACCAAAGTTCACAAAACTGGCAATAAGGGCTTTTTGGTTAACAAATTGTAGGGGAATAAGGGCTTTTGTAGGGATGGTCATTAGCTTGCATGCAGGGATGGTCTCGTCATTTGCATCTAATTCTGAATTTGTTTTCAATTATTTTAATTATAATTAAGTTTGACTTTTGAGTGTTCACCATGTTTGGTGAAACCTCTATAAGCAGGATTAACTCATTCGTAAAAGAGGGTTATGCCCCTACAAAGAGGGTTGTTGTGAACTTTGGTGACCCTCTTTTACGAATAAGGGCTGTTGTGAACTTTGGTGACCAAAAAGCCCTTATGCCCCTACAAAGACAAGTATATCGCACGTATGGAAAGGGCAAGCGAATGACTTTTTCTAATAAAAAGGACTTTATGGTTATCACGAATCATAATGAAGGGTTTCATGGTAAAATGAATTATATTCCATGCAGACAAGGGACAAGGAGAGAGACGACAGTGGAGCCACCAGAATGCTAACTCCACCCCCTCTATTTTATTTGCCTCTCTCATCTCTCTTTTCTTCTTTTTTTTTCTCTCTCTAACGACTCCAATGGTTCTGCATTTCCTCCCCATTTTACCTAACAGGAGAGAGAAAGACAGATTTCCTTGAAGACCCGAATTTCAATCTCCTTCATTCTCTCTCAATGAACTATGAAGCCTTAGAGGTTCCAAGTTAAACCTCTGCAAAGTAAGTCATTCTCTCTCTCTCTCTTCTCTCCTCTCTCCCCTCTCTCCTCTCTCTCTCTCTCTCTCTCTTAAAGAAGAAAACCAAGAATCATATTTGATCTAACTATGTGTATAAAAAATACTTAGTTTTAGCTTGTTAGGTTCATCTAATGATTTGGACTAATTATATTTGTGTGTTACATGTATTGATTTGAATTTTAGAGAGAGAGAGAGAGAGAGAGAGAGAGAGAGAG